GTTCAAACCCCAGTACCACAAAAGAAAAAAAAATTTTTTTACCATAAAATCCTAAGTATCCACCCAAAAGAAATTGAAATGTGTATTCACACATAGATTTTCACACTAATGTTCTGAGTAGCACTATTTCTAACAGCCAAAAAAAAGAAACTTAAGCCTTCATCACCTGATGAATGTATAGATAAAATGTGGAATATCTAAGGTGGGGTACAGCTCAGTGCTAGGGTGCTCGCCTAGCATGCAAAGCCCTGAGTTCCATCCCCAGCACTGCAAAAGGAAGGAAAAAAAAAAAAAGTGGTACAAGTCAGTATTAACAGTATACTACTCAAGGGCAAACACAACAAGGGGATTGGACTATGAGCACATGATAAAAGCGAGAGCACACAAGGGAGGGGTGAGGATAGGTAAGACACCTAAAAAACTAGCTAGCATTTGTTGCCCTTAACGCAGAGAAACTAAAGCAGATACCCTAAAGCAACTGAGGCCAATAGGAAAAGGGGACCAGGAACTAGAGAAAAGGTTAGATCAAAAAGAATTAACCTAGAAGGTAACACCCACACACAGGAAATCAATGTGAGTCAATGCCCTGTATAGCTATCCTTATCTCAACCAGCAAAACCCCTTGTTCCTTCCTATTATTGCTTATACTCTCTCTACAACAAAATTAGAGATAAGGGCAAAATAGTTTCTGCTGGGTATTGAGGGGGGGAGCGGGAGGGGGTGGAGTGGGTGGTAAGGGAGGGGGTGGGGGCAGGGGGGAGAAATGAACCAAGCCTTGTATGCACATATGAATAATAAAGAAAAATGAAAAAAAAAAAAAAAAAAAAAAAAACAGTATACTACTCAACAACAAAAAGGAACACTAACTATGCTATGACATGATAAACCTTAAAAACATGCTAAGTGAAAAGACAAGCTCATGTAACTTATAATTCCACTTACATGAAATGTCCAGAAGAGGAAAACTGTGCAGATGAAAATAGATTAGGGGTTCCCTAGGGCTGGCAGTGCAGGGATCTTTTTGAGAGATAAAAATGTTCTAAATCTGGTAATTCTGCTACCTGACAAGTTAAATCACTGAATTATATACTTTATATAGGTCAATTTTACATGTAAAATTTACTAAAATAAAAGCTGATAAAAATAAATAAATCAAAAGGGCCAGAGATGTGGCACCTTCCTAGCAAGCATAAGCCCCGAGTTCAAACCTCAGTACTGCCCCTTCCCTGCAAAAAAAATAATAAATCATAGTAGCACTTGAATAAGTTATTTAACTCTTACTGTTTATATCTTTTCTCAGCACCTCCTCTCCACAACTAGACCCTTAACATCTTGAGAGTAAGAACCAAGTATCCCACTTGTTTTCATGCTCATTTTTTTGACAAACTACACCTAGCCCAAAGCTACACATACATTATGGGTGCGGATTTTTTAGGTTTGATTTTTGCCTTGTCAATATGGAGTGATGCCATACAAGAGCATCAAGGAGGAAGTGGTCTTTGTGTCTGGGTTAAGCCATGGTGGCAATCACATACAGTCCCAGCTACTCAGGAGGCTGAGACAGGAGGATCCCTTGAGCCCATAAGTTCAGAACCAACAAAGAGAACCGAACAAGACCCTGTGCCCTTAAAAAAAAAAGAAAGAAAGAAAACAATGGGCATGCATCACAGCTCTTCCCCAGCATGTTACCCTCTCTCAGCCATGGAACACATACAGCTCAGTGAATAAACTCACATGCAAAACCAAACGCAAGTGTGCAGGTACACCAAACAGGAAACCAACCTAACAGAGGATGCCTACAGATCCACTTCTTCTTCCTCTACCAGGCAAGACTGGCCCTGGGACAGTTTTCCTCCCTCCCAAGCCCACTGAACTTCATGTTCCAATAGTGCATTTAACAAACAGAACTAAACATTTCCCCAACTTCAATGTTTAATTCATCTGACTAATCATTTTCTGAGTCTCACTCTACAACGCAGTTTCACTTCCTGGCCCCTTGTGGTTTAACAGGCCACGTCTAGTTCTAACCAACAAATTGTGACAACGACGTGTTACTTCCAAATCAGAGCATATGTTTATGCAAGAATCTCCACAACTCTTCACACTTCCCACCACAACTGGCAGTGGTCTAGTTGGTGGCTCTATGTCAGCTTAGATAAGGACAATGTGGAGATCTCCAGCCAACCTGCAATGCACAGAGACTATGAATAGGAAATAAACCATGGTCTATGCCCATGGGCTTTGGGGGTTGTTACCACAGCCTAATCTGACAAATAAAATCATGGGTCTCTTAGGCTGTGATATTATGTATTTTAAATCTCTTACTCCAAAACTTCCTAAGACCCTTTAATCTGGCTTCTGTGACAAACCACCCTGCCCTTTTTTGCCAATTTCTCTGACCATTTTCTACTTCTTTACTTCCTCTTGGACTATACTTCCGCTAGCGAACTCACTAAACCATGCCATTAACGGAGCTTTTGTCCTCAGCACATATCTTATCTCATTTCACATGCCATCCAGGAAGAAGAGCTTGCCCACTTCTGATTTACCCGCCTGACTGCTCCATAAGCCTCATAATCCAATACATCCTAAATGCATCAGCCGCTCAGCCCCCTGCACACCCATATTTCCTCTCTACTCCCCACCTGAGTTAAAAGCATCTAAGTCCACACAGCCACCCAGGCAGGAAATTTGACAGAGATGCCATCTCAGCCCTCTGTCACCCTATTCTCATTGACCAACCAATCCTGGCAATTTTACCTGCCTTTTCATTGGTGTTACTGTCTGAGGGATGAGAGGTTGCTTATTTTTGCTTATTCAATTTTATTATATTATATACTGAAAAAAGTCTTACTTTAGTGTTGGCATGGCAATGATGCTCTATCTGAAAGGCAGGACAAACAGTTTAGTCTAGATCAAGAAAGTCACACTATCTGAGTACACAATTACAAAAGTATGCTAGTAGCAACCTGCATATTATTGTCTCGTGTCTTTAGCCATCCATTTAAGTAAAGGTCTCAAAATACTACCAAAGCTTTCCTTCTTTATCAAATTCTACTAAGTATTACTCATATTGTGACTTAAGACAGAGCAAACACCAAGTAATTTTGGCTGACTCTCTTCTTATAAATAAATCCGTAAGAAAACATCCCCTAATTCATCTTTTTCTAACTGATTTGATTTTCTAAAATTGAAATAAGTAATTCTGAGGGCTATGGACCTAGATCAGCAGGAGAGTTCCTACTTAGCATGTGTAAGGCCCTGTGTTCAATCTCTATTGCTGCCCCCCACAAAAAAGTAATTATAGTAAACTAAAGCCAGAGCCACAATTTCTCATCATGTTCTGTTCAAATGCTTTTAAGTCTCCAATGGAGACACAGCAGAGAAATATTACCTGCTCCTCACAGTAAAGCAGACAGTGACTGCTGTCTTTTAGTGTAACCATTCCACAGCAGCAGGTTTGTCATTCTTGGTTCCTTCAACCTCACAAAAACATTCAGAATTCATTCTTTATATGGAAGAGTTCTCACAGCACCATATAAATTACAAAAATACACAAAAGAGGTTTTTTTGCTTTATAAGCCAGCAACAAACTAAAATTATAAGCAGGATGTTTCTAAATTCTCAAATGGAATTAAAAACCAGAATTTGCTCTTCCACTTAAATTCCATTTGCTAAAACTGAAATTCAATAGCCAGACAAGGTAGCACATGCCTATAGTTCCAGCTGCTCAGGAAGCTAAGGCAGGAGGATCACTTGAGTCCCAGAGATCAAGATCAGCCTAAACAATACAGCAAGACCCCCATCCCCCAAAAAAAAAGCCTAAATCCACAACTTCTGGCAAGAGCCTTAATATTCTCAAGCAAAATCTATTCTGAAGAGACCAAGAAAGCTATTATCAAACTTACTGTGCAATCATGTAAACCAAAAAGCCTCTGATGCTCAATCCAACAGTGCTATTACTGCACATTTTAAGTGGCCACCTTAAGCCCTTTAAGAACCTAACACCTTTTTCTTTCTCCAAACTGCAAAAAGAACTGTCGGGAAAGCTGTTCTAAAATCCAACAGTGAACAGCAACACCTCATTTCTACTTCTTTCCTTAAGATAAGAAAATGCAGTCAGAATTTAATTTGGCCTGAAAAAGCTATGAAGGCAATGCCAAATATTCCATGGTACAAACAGGAAGCCCAAATTGGTATAGGAAAGAAAAGGCAATATGTCTACATATTTTGTACTCTTTTGGAAACACTACCCACTTCTTTTCAGGGGGTATCAAACAATTGTGGATTAAGTCACAGACATACCACTAAGCTACATTTCCATGCCTAAGTCACCAGTTTAATAATTTCAATTCAGCAGCAAGAGTTATCTGGTAAGCATTCTTAATACTACCCAAAAATTAGGGGGAGAGGGGAGATAGGACACCAACAAAATCTACATTTTGTATAGCCCCAAACTGTATATTTAAAACCTTTTAGGAGAGTCATCAAAACCTAAAATTTCTTACTCTAAAACATAGTACCAACAGACTATTTTTTTTTAAAAAGCTGAGGCTTTATCTTTCTTCCAGAAGCACAGCATTTTTCCCTAAGAACATATTCACTGGGGTACTGCTAACTAACACACGCCTAGTGGCTTTACACTCCTAGACCAAACAGTCTAGAAGGCTGCTAAGAAAAAGGTTTCATGGCTTAGCAATAGATCACAGGAAGTGTTAGCTCAAGATGTGTGTGGAAACTACTTTTAATTGCTGCAACAGCAGAATGTTAAGGCAACATCAGAAAGCAGGGGGTTTTAAGCTTTACTCCCCGCCTGATAGAACTGAATGATGTTACTAAATCCCTTGATATAAAAACTTTCCAAAATAACTTGTTCAGCTTGACTTTGCAGTTTAATCTTTTACATTTTGATGGCAGTAAGAAAGAATCCAGGATATAATTCCCTTGGCAAAAAATTCAACACCTGATTCACTTACAAGGCTTAAAGAAGGAAAAGTAAATTTTCCTTGTTTGCCAATCATCCTTTTTAATAATCTATTTTTATACTATATTCAGGCTACACCTGGGAATGGATGGCTAACTTGGATACAGAAAATATTAGGTGTCATTTCTGGAACAATCACAAATGAGGCAATAAATTTAAAGAGAACATCACCAGTCAGGGTAAGCAAGAAAAGGACTTTACCAAGAGATTGACATTTACACTTTTGACAAAACTGAAATACAACGAATTACAGAGCAAATTCACTGAAACAACAAAGAAAATTCTGTCCATGGAAAGGTTATTCGTTTTTACCCCAAAAAAAGTTTTCAATTCTGATACTTACACCACACAATTGGTTAAGAAAATAAAGCGAGGTGCCTAGCAACTGGGCATCCTAACTACGGTAAGAGGCACTCTGTGCTCACCCCTTCCTGGCAAGTGCTGAGGTCAGCAAGGCCAGGAATGGGAAGAGCCTCCTATTTTTCAACACAAGCTGCTGCTGTCTCCTTATTGAAGCCCCGGATGGAGAGATCATAGACCACCTCCTCTACTTTCTTCACATCATACTTCAAGCCGTCATAGCGCTTCCTCAGGGAGTCATTTTTCAGGTTGAGAAGGCGGAAACCGGAATCCAGCTCATTGATAAAAGTGGAGATGTGGAGGGGCCGGGAGTAGTCTCCAGCAGTCACACTGTTGACAGACAGCCTTGACTACACGAGGAAAAAAAGAAATGGGTGCATTACAACATGACTCCTACCCTGAATCACAACTACAAGAACCTCAGGCCTAGACAGCTATGCTGATGTTCTCTGCTCAGGTGCATGTAAGCAGAGACAATCCCATCAGAAATGAGACAATTTCTGCTAAATAGAGGTTTAATATAATTAATGTCTTCTAAAATGTCTTTAATGTCTTAAACCTGCTAACATGCAATAAAGTGTGCTAAATCAAACAAGTGTCAACTATACAGTTCATCAGCTAACGTACAGAAGAAAGAGATGTCAGGGCAGTCACAGCAGCTCTGCAATCTTTTTAAACCTAGGCCAAATTACCCCATTCTCCTACTAAGCAGAAATTCCAGTCACCTGAATCAGTAAGGCAGAGAGACAGGATAAGAAGTTAAAATTAAGTCAGTGCAACATTCTCTTGAAGGATAAATAAAATACATTTCAAGACCCAACTCCAGATTCCCTTTTCCATAAAATCCTCCCATTCTTCCAGACTTCCCCCAACTATGCATTAGTACATTCCCAACACATATAGTCTTAAAGACACTACCCACTAACATTGTCATGGTGCTGGACTTCAAGTTTACTGGTCACTTGTCTCCAATAAGCCCTAGCAAGCCATATAGCCTGTCATCTTCCTCAATGAGAATTCCTCAAATTTTCACACACCCCACACATACATATCCCAACAACTCCATATCTGCCTCCAGTACCAACAAAGCACTAGAATGGTGTTTGGGAGTTTCTGTTTTACTGCAGTGCTGGGGATGGAATCCAGAGCTGTGTGCATGCTAAGAAAGTGTTCTACCACTGAGTATTACACCCCAGCCTGAGGCTTTAGAATGCTAAAAGGAAGTTGTGTGTACACCTTGAAGCAAGGGATATACCCTTTTCCCTACTTCTTCCTTCATATTCATATTTATTCTTCCTTCACATTCATATTTATTCTTCAAATAAAGATATGAATTTCTATAGCTATATCAATAGCTCTGAAACATGAGACAAAAACTACAAGCCAGAAGAATTCAGGGTCAAAGATGAAGGAATCATCATACCAACCCTGGGCTGCTTTAAACTTTCTTCAAGAGCCATCCAATAAACATTTTCACTTCTACTGGCTGCACAGGCTCTGTCACAACTACTCAAATTCATGCTTTACAGCTTTTTCCCTGTAAAGAATTATTTCTATAGGACAATTTCCTGAGAGATTAAGATATAAAAGATAAGAATAACAGTTACATAAATTGTTCTCTAAAACTACTATATGAATTAACTTGTGTGACAAGAAACACAAGTCTTGCCACTACTCTAAAAGAAAGAGGTATTATCATCTTTCAAAAACTCACACATTATAGAGGGGGTGAATATGATCTAAGTACATTATATGCATATATGGAAACATCTGAATGAAACCTATTACTTTGTACAATATATGCTTAAAAAAATTTACACATTAGTAAATGTGCACAGCTACCTCACTGTTTGGCATTTCTTTGAGGCCTAGCAAACTGACACATACAGTGCAGTCACTAACCACCTGATGACTAACAGATGACTTAGAATTTAAGACTTCCTGAGATTTGGTATCCATTTAGAAGACTGAGAGTGACACAGGATGATCAAAAAAAGCAACTAGTCCAGGCACCAGTGGCTCACATCTGTAATCCTAGCTATTCAGGAGGTAGGAGGATCACAGTTGAAAGCCAGCCTGGGCAAATAGTTCAAGAGACTATCTGGAAAACCCCATCACAAAAAGGGCTAGTGGAATGGCCCAAGGTGTAGGCCTTGAATTTAAAGCCCAGTACCTAAAAAAAGAAAAAAAAAACCCAGCAAATTACCAAGCTTCTTACCAATTCACTAGCAAGAATTAAAACTCCTGAGAGATAATCTTCTACATCCAGATGAAATCCTTTCTCCCGATCTGGCTCAACTAAAAAACATCAAAATAAAGACAGTCACGATGTGAATGTAACTTAAGCCAAAGAATACAAAAGTATTTTAGCTTTTGCATTTCCAGAAACTAGCTTTCAATGTAGTTCTCATTTGTTGTAATAAATAGAAAGTACAAGCCATAGCTCCTCCCACCAAAACTTAAGCTTATGTGCCGAATTCTGCAGATACCACTAGGAAGACACTTACTGCCAAGAATTTCTGTAACTGCTTCTCGAGTCACTAGTGTTTCTGTTTCCAAATACACAACAAATGCTGCCAAGAACACCAAGCGCTGCAACACAAACCTCCAGTGCTCGTGAAATCTGCGTGAAAGGAAGTACGTTTATGATGCAGCGTTAGAGACTATCAGGAAGAAGCACCTGACACAGGCATGTCTAAACAGCTTTTAGAAATGGAGCTGGATGCCAGTGGCTCACACCTGTAATCCTAGCTACTCAGGAGGCAATATCTCAAAAAACCCATCACAATAAAGAGCTCGCAGTAACTCAAGGTATAGGCCCTCAGGCCAAGCCCCATGAAAAAGAAAAAGAAATGGGATTCTTCTTCAAAAAATCTTATGTGAAACCCAGCTAAATAAAATATATGAGCATAACAGGGCATTCAAATATATTAAACAAAGTCAGACATGGTTATGCATACCTATAATCCCAGCTCTCGGGAAGCTGAGGCAGTAGGAACATGAGTTGGAAGCCAGCTTGGGCTAGCCACTAGTAAAACATTTTAGACCCTGCAGGCCACTTTCACGTGTTCTTATTTGGATTTCTCTTTTAACAACCCTTGTAAATATAAAAGCAATTCTTGTATCTCAGAGGCAGTGGGCCACCAGTGGTTTGTTAACTCCCACCCTAAAGAATTTTGTTTTGAGGTTATACTATCTACCCACCACACACATTCCACTTATTAACTATGTGTATCTTAAGAGAACATCTTTCTTAGTAAGAAAATGAAAGTAAGTAAAAATTCTTGATTCCAGCCGGGTGCCCGTGGCTCACGTCTATAATCCTAGCTACTTGGGAGGCTGAGATAAAGAGAATCAAATTGAGGCCAGCCCAGGCAAATAGTTCATGAGATCCGATCTCCAAAATATCCAGAACAAAAGGGACTGGAGGTGTGGCTCAAACAATAGAGCATGTGCTTTGCAATCACAAAGTCCTGAGTTCAAACCCCAGTCCCATCAAAAAAAAAAAAAACTGACTTTCTTATTTATCATAGTGCATCAATACTCCGAGTTTAAGATCTACAAAATCATGACTAGAGTATGTTTTTATCCCTATTGGTATGTAATAAAATAATGGAATAATCTTAAAATTAATGGTGCTATAGATTCAACAAGATTCAGCATATCAACTAAACATACCCCTAGGCAATGAAATTTAAGCTTTGAGGTTAAACTCAACTCCAAATGTATACTGCCACCTAATCCCACAAACTTAATAGTATAATTCACCCAACTGCATGGGTAAATCAAGTAGAACAAATCAGTACTCTTAATTTTGACTTTCATGTAAGATATTTTCTTAAATATTTTTTCATTGCAAAAGTACTAATTTCAAAGTAAACAGAAGGAAAAAACAAAATCATCAATTTTGTCACCCCCATTATCCGTGTGATTCTTTTTTTTTCTACATAGGATTTTTTTACCTAGTCATAAGCAATCATTCAGTACCTGTAAGTTTTCTCCTGCCTTTTTTTTTCACCTAACACTGTAAGACAGTGCCATTTTTCTTACAAACCTGTAATACTGTTCAGCAGGAAACTTGGTCTTCAGAGATGTTAGATGTGTTTTTACTGTACCAAAATGTTCTCGAGCTTTCAAACATCTCTTTGGAACTGATCACAAAAGACAAAAACCACATTTCAAATACAGTTCTTATTTAATAATCTATGTAGTCTACCTGGAAATTTTTAATTAATTTTTCTAAAAGTCTCACAGCTAAATGTACACATCTCTGCTTTTCAATCTGGCTTTCAAAATACCACATCTAGTTTTCCTACTGATTAACCTCCTGAAAAATAAACAAAAAGTTGCCAAAAGGGAGTATGTTAGGAAACACGTTGATGATTTGCAAAGTGTCATATTATAATAACACCAACCTTCAGACCTGTCCACCAGCTGCTATTCCTACTCAGCCCTCAGAGGATGGCTAAAATTGAATTACTTCTAGCTCCCATATTTGGTCAAAAAGAGCATTTACCAATTATTTTTGATCAGGCTGACCAAACTCCGTATCACTGTGTAAATGACTTGCTTCTGACACCTTCAAGCTACAGTATTTTATTATTTCCCATAAGAAAATAATTTCAGCTCTTTTAGCTATGCTGGCTGCATCTTACAACAAAGGTCCTATGTCTACATTGGACATATCTGATTCTCATTCAAGGGGCTAACTATAAACACATTAATTTGAGAACATTTTATACTGGTCACTTCATATTTACAAAGGCATATTAAAAAGTATCCAATCACATAAAGCATGGATTCAAACACACAACCTGGGCATGGTAGCATGTACCTAGCATCCCAGCTTTTCAGGAGGTTACAGTGGGGGAGAATCATTTGAGCCCAGTTTAAGACTAGCATGGACGGACTGCAGCAGTGGCTCAAGTGGTAAAGCGCCTGCCTAGCAAGCGTGAGTCACTGAGTTCAAATACCAACACCACAAAAAAAAGACCCCATTCATAAAACAAAACAATGGCCTGGAGGCATGACTCAAGTGAGAGAGCACTTGCCTAACAAGCACAAAGCCCTGAGTTCAAACCCCAATACTACCAAAACAGACACACCAGATACAACTTGCTAGGCATACAAAAGAGTTATTTAAAAACTGTAATTAACATCAGTAGAATTCTGTCATGATAGAAAACATTCTTACTTAAACCACATTATGCAAAAGTGAAAAATCAACCAAAACCCAAGTAATAACATAATCCAAACCACTTATTTCTCAAAATTTTTACACACCATAAAGCACAATGGACATTTTTCAAAATAAAACAATACAGGCAATGTGTATCTTCTAGATGGAAATTAACTATTTAAATAAAAGATTGATAAATTGGGTAAAACCTTCAAAATCAAAACAAAGAACTTACTGTCCTGAAACCCGGCTCCCTGATGGACCCCTTGCAGTAGAGTTAAAATCTCTCGAGCTGTTTGTTCTAAACTCTGTACAACTTTTCGGATTTCCTAGGGAAAATTAAAAATCAAAATCAGATAAGCATAGTCATTATCACAGAATCATACTAAACATACTAGATAACATATTTGATCTATCACATCTTCACATACATTCAAAACACTAATAGTCTTCACAAGAACTAAACCTGTACAGAAAAGTAACCAAGTGTGAATCCTGACTTTTCCACTTGCTTTTCCTGAAACCTTCAGGAATCACTGAAAAGCCTTAGATTCCTCACACAGCCAAAAGATAACAGCTGTCACCCACCCCACGTATCCACTTGGGGACTCAAGCAGAGTCCCTTTACCCTGGCAGTGTAGCAAAAAATGGAAGGACAGATATTTTAAAAAGTAACCATCACACAAAATTTTTAAATGTTAACGTGCTCATAGAAAACATAAGAGAAGCAATCATTCAGATTGTGAGATCAAGGAGATGACTACAAATCGGACGTGGCGGTACATGCTACAACCCCAACACTTGGGAGCTGAGGCAGAGGATCTCGAGATGGAGGCCAGCCTGGACTACACCTTGTCTTAAGAAGGAAACAGACTGAGAGAGAAAGACAGACACACAGAGACAGACACACACAGATGAATACGAGATAACCAGGAAAAGAATGCGAAAGAAGCAAACTCCAGGCAAAGCAAACATTATATGCAAGAGTCCCGAGGTAGGAAACTATTTGGGGCACTAGGGGAAAAGGAGGTAAGTTGAACATAATATACAAAGAGAAATGTGTAAGGACGGATTGGAGAGACTTTTTGAGCCACAGTGAAGTCTGGATTTTTATTGTATGTGGATGAGAAGCCATGGGAGTTTTTTAAAGGAAGAGTCACGTGTGCTTTTTAAGACACCACCAACAAATAACAGGAAACGTGCTTTGGCTGAGTCTCAGGCGCTAACTGACCCTTCGATATAAACAAGTACCGAAAGGAAGGAAAACTGACACTACGAGAGGTGATGCTAAGCAGCCGCGACCCGGAACAAGGAATAAGCACCAAGAACCAGAATCCGGGGCGGGACAGGAGACGGGGGAGTAGCCTAACCTGAAACTAGAGGGGAAGCAAGCCACCCTCGGAGGCGTCCCCACCGCCCGCGACTGAGTGACGGAGGAGGGTCGGGCGATGTGGCCCAGCTACTCAAGGAAAGGAAAAGGGGATGGGAGGGAGGAAGCTCGCCTCTCGGATGTCCTGCTCGGCAGCCAAAAAGCCCTGCAGCTCCACGAAAATCTCGCTCACGGACATGACGCCGGCTGCACAACAATCAGCCAGTGCGGCGAGGACTGCCAGAGAAGTGAGACAGGCAAACAAGCCGCGCAATCACTCGCGACGCCCACCACGGCTGCCGCTGCTTCCACCGGGCTCTACGCCACGGCTGTCGCTGGGGTCCTCCAAGGTCTGCGGCGCGCCGGAGATAGGACTGTCCGCCGCACTGCCTGAAGCGCCGCTCAACGAGTCCCAAGACGGGGCCAGGAGAGAGGAAGGTGGGCGGGGCTTCAGGCTGGGGACTTCAGGTAGGCATCGCTGAAAACAGCCCGCGAAGGGGGCCTTGGTGGCACGTGACCTGAGGGAGGCGGGGCGTGCTTGAAGGTGGTGAGGCCGGGCGGGGCTGTTTGCCTTTACTTGTGTTGGTGAGCAGCTGCTGGTGGGGAGCAGAGCTTCCCAGCAAAAGTTGCTTGAAAAGCTAGGGGCAGAAGGATGTAATCTTCGAATAAAAGCAGGGGATCCGTGTATCCGTATTTACAAAAAACACACTGGAAAGTAAATGTACGTATATAGAACTGTGTGAGTAGAGGGTGGATTGGGAACGAAAAGCTCCTCTGTGTACATCTTTTTTATTTTAAGGTCTTTGATTCTACTACCTATTTTTAAATTAAATGGATTTTTAAGCGTGGATTGAAAGTTTCTCTTCTATTCAACTAATACCTCCCTCGTCTAATTCCCTTTGCCTGGGGCAGGTACTGTAACGGTGTCCTTTAAGAGTTATTACGTTTAAAAAATTAAAAATTGTTCCTTAAACTTGACTACAAATACGTGTGTGTGAATAACGCAGTGTCCAAATGTATGAGAATGACTTTTTATCAACGAAATGAAAATGTGCTGTTTGCTGCATGCCTGGCATTCCTCCACATTCTTTATGCGAAAGATCGTGTTTAATTTTCACAATGGTCCTAAGAAGTTACCTGATAAATGAAGTAACATTAATTGACTCGCCTAAGTTCCTGCGTAACTAAGTGTTCAAGCTGAAACCAAGTGGTTATCTTAATCATTATGATATTATCGCCTTCCACCATTTAACAATAACAGTTACTATAGGCTTTCGTTTTGTTTTTGAAGGTACTCGAGTTTGCACTCGGGGCTTCCTGCTTAACTAGGCAGGCACTCTACCATTTGAGCCATGTCACCAGCCCACTAGCAGCTTTTAAATTCCCTTTCTGAATTGATCCCCACAATCTAGTAAGGACAGGCTAGAAAACCTCAGTTTTAATAACATCTCCAAAGACAGAAATTTTTTTTTGGCCTGTGTACCTTAGATACATGTGTCGTATTGTGGTCCAACTATGTGGGCACTAGAACCTCATAATTCACACAGGCCAAAAAAAAAGAAAGAAAGAAAAAAAGAAAAGATAGCAAGATGAGCTAGTATTTAAGACTTAAGGGGCTGGTGGAGTGACTTAGGTGGTAGAGCGCCTGTCTAGTAAGCATGAGACCCTGAGTTCAAACCCCAGTGTCATCAAAGGAAAAGAAAAAAAACTTAATACCTGCCAAAGTACTAGGAGTACTAGCACTCTGTATATTACTGAATTCATACAAATCCAAATTCATTTTCATGCCAACTCAAAACAAAAATTATGACTTTCAAAATGCTATCAGGAAGAATAATATGCCAAATCATTTTTCCTCAAAAAGTCTAAGGTAGCTGGTGGAGTAGCTCAAGTGGTAGAGCACCTGCCTGGCAAGCATGAGGCCCTGAGTTCAAACTCCCAATACCACCAAAAAAAATGAAAAAAAAGAGAAAAGTCTTAGGTAGTTTTTTAAAAAATAAAAAACAGGAAAAAGAACACACAGGGCTGGAGGCGTGGCTCAAATGATGGAGCATCTGCCTTACAAGTGTGAAACCCAGCATTCAAACCCCAGTACCTCCAAAAAAAAACCCACAAAATTTACTACTAGTATGGGAGCGTTCAACTCCTGAGGTAGTTTTTTTGTTTTGTTTTGGTGGCACTGAGACACAATATACAAAAATTACTTAAAATGGAACAAGAGACTTAAGACCTAAAACTAAAACTCTTCAGGGGAAAAAAAAAAAATAGGGGACAAGCATGCCATTGGATTTGGCAGTGATTTCCCGTGTATGACATCAAAAACACAGGCAACAAAGGAAAACAAGTAGATGACTGCAGGGTCCAGTTTTGCTCACCTGCAATCTTGAGGCAAGAGAATTGTCCATTTATTTATTTTATTTTTGGCAGTACTGGGGCCTGATGCTAGGCAGGCATTCTTCCACTTAAGCCACTGCACCAGCCATTTTTGTGTTGGATATTGTTGAGATAGGTCTCGGGAACTACTTGCATGAGCTGGCTTTGAACTCGATCCTCCTGATCTCTGCCCCCTGAGTAGCAAGGATTACAGGCATGAGCTACCTGTGCCTGGTAGTTTTTTAAGAAGATCTCTTTTGTCAAATTAGATTAACACTTATCACTAAAAGTGGGGAGAAGCCAAGTGTGGTAGCGCATACTTCCAGCTACTTGGGAAGCTGAGGCAAAAGTGTCACCTGAGCCCAGGAATTCAAGACCAGTCTAAGCTACATAACAATATTTATCTCAAGAAAGAAAGAAAAAAAGTTGAGAAGATTACCAAAAATTTGTTTCAGACTTTTTTTTCTTATTTTTATTTTTGGTGTTCTGGGGGTACATTGTGACATTTACAAAAGTTCTTACCAATGTATCAGTTGATTTCACCGGCTCCATCATTCTCCTTAAAAACTACTTTCTGTCTCTGAATAAGATTGTTCAGGTACTTTGTAAAAGCATAATCTCAAAATATTTGCCTTTTTGTGTCTGGTTTATTTCACTTAGCATAATGTCAAGGTTCATCCATGTTGTAGCATATATCAGAATTTAATTCCTCTGTAAACTGAATAAAACCACATTTTGTTTGTTGTTCATCCATTGATAGACACGCAAATTGTTAACACATTTGACTTTTAAATAATGCTACTGTGAACGTAAGTGTGCAAATACCTGTGCATCCCTGCTTTCAGTTCTTGTAGGCACATACCTGGAAGTAGAATTGCTGGGTCATATGATATCTGTTTTGAGGAGCTGCCATACTACTCTGCACATCAGCTGGACCATTTTACTTTATCACCTGCAGTATTCAAAGGTTACCATTCTCCACTTTTTCACCAACACTCCCCACCATCCACCACAGGCATAATAGTGGGTGTGAAGTATCTCCTGTCATTTTGATTTGCATTTCCCTAATGACTAGGGGTATTGAGCAGTTTTTCACATGCTTATTGACCATGTGTCTATCTTCTTTGGAGAAATGTCTGTTCAAGACCTTTACCTTTTTGGGAGGGAGGTGGGTGAGACAGGATCTCACTGTGTATCCCAGGCTGGCCTCAAACTTGTAATCCTCAGCCTCTCAAGTGGTGAGATTACAGATGTGAGTCACCACACCTGAACTTTTTTTGAGATGAGTTCTCAGTATGTTGTCCAGGCTGGATTTAAACAGACAATCCTCCTGCCTCAGGATCACAAGTGAGCAAAACTAGGCACTGAAGTCTTTTACTTGTTTTTTCTGTTGTTGCCTGTGCTTTTGATGTCATGTGTAAGAAATCATTGCCAAATCCCATGGCATGAAGCTTTTCCCCTGTGTTTTTTTTCCTAAGAGTTTTAGTTTTCAGTCTTATGTTAAGTACCTTGTTCCATTTTAACTGACTTTTGTGTATGGTGTCATCATGGTTTGTACTGTCCTTGTCTATACTTTGGATATCAGGGTAATGCTAGTATAGGGGACCCACTCAGCCCCAGAGTTACTGTGAAGATTATTTTAAAGCAAAAATACTTGAGATTGAATAGATGCAGAAAGAAGCCTTCTGGGAGCTTCTTTTAGGTAAAAGAAGAGACTTCTGGGAGATGAGGCCACCATAAGTTCCGTTGGAATTTCTTGGTATGAAGACTGAAAGACCATGGTTCCCACAGAAGCAATTACTACAGACTCTCTTGTCTCCTGTTGTTTTGTTTTGCTTTGTTGGTGGTTTGAACTCAGGGCTTTGTACTTATCTCCTGTTCTTCTCAAATCTCATTGTGTTTCCTAAGGAAATCTATTTTGGGGCTGACGGAGTGGCTAAACTGGTAGAGTGCCTGCTGAACAAGTGTGAGGCCCTGATTCAAACCCCAGTACTGCTCCCCCACAAAAAGAAACCTTTTTGTTCTTCCTATAGGAACCCTTTTTCCTCTCCTCTTTTCCTTATTAGTTAGGTATATGAACATCTAACTTTAATCATTTAGTAAGCCAGCTACTTCCTTTCTTAGTTCAGCGTGTATACAAGCAAACCTTTAGAGGGAGTTTTCTATAAAAAGTTAATGAGGACTGTTAGTTGACGGTGTGTTGAGAGGTATCCTTGCTGTTTATCTGCTGTCGGTTTATGCATGGGTCCTCATACACTGAACGAAAGAGAGTAGAGGAAGTGTTTTCCTCCCCAACACTAACTTCATAAATGAGTTCGACCTGGAGCTCAGCCACTTAGGAGATGGAGATGGGGAAGGGTCCTAGTTCCATGCCAGCCTGGGCAAAACGTTAACAAACGACCTGGGCACGGTGGCACACATCTGTAATCCTAGATATGCACGAGTCATAGACCAGAGGATCATAATCCCAGACATCCTGGAGCACAAGTGCAAAACCCTACCAGAAAAAATGACTAGAGCAGACTGGACGGGGTACATGGCTCAAGGGGTAGAGTACTAGCCTCGTAAGAGCAAGGCCCTAAGTTCAAACATTAGTACTAAATAAATAAATAGAGCGACTTGGAAAGTGTTTTCTGTATTTCTGAAAGAAGTCATAAAGAATCGATGTTAATTCTTTAGTAGAATTCTCTAATGAAACCTGGGTTTAGAGAATTCATTGGAGGAATTTTTATTGCAAATTCAGTTTTCCCTTTTTCTTCCTTTTTTTTTTTTTTTACAGTACTGGGGTTTTAAGTCAGAGCCTTTTGATTTTCTTAATCGTCATAGTTCTACTCAAATTTTCTATTTACTATTAGATGAGTTGGTAGTTTTTGTTTTTTTCAAAGAATTGGCCCATTTAGCCAGGCACTAGTGGCTCATGCCTGTAATCCTAGCTAGTCAGGAGGCAG